AGCTGTATATGCCGCCTTTCTGGTAGCATGTCGCCGTAGAGAGTTGGAATCTTCGAGTCGACAGGATGTGGAGGTCAATGAAGCGAAACTTGTGCAGCTATTCTGCAAGGCGGATCCCGTCAGTGCACTGCATGACGAAGTGATGCGCTTGTTGAACCAAAAGACGGAGTCCACTTCGCTTTTGACACATAACACAGTGGCAGAGGCCGTGATGTGGCGGGCGATGCACGCGGACTCCCATGAAGACTTTGTTGTTGCACTTCGAGAGGCTCTTGAGGCGTGTGTCTCATTTTGGTTGGCCGAGCCACATGCCGAACTGGACGCCATTTCTGATGTTTCTGGCATCCTGCGGCGCAACATCCTTCCTTACTTACAGGAGAAAAATGAGACTTTGGGTGATATAGAGTTGATTGAGGCACACTTCTGGATAAAGTTTGCGGAGGTTCGGTCGACGGCAGACGAACACGCACGGAGTACCGCACAACTTGACGTTGCACTTGGTGGAGGCGATCGGACGCTTGTCTTCCAGTTGGCTCAGGATGAGTCTGCACTGTTGCGGGAGCTTCATGCGTTAACGCAAGAAGCGCTTTCACACGGGGGCGCGTTGGTGCGTCGATCTCGCTCCTGCGTCACCGCCGTCACGTGGATTGTGCAGGTATTTGCAGAGGAAGTGGCGCTTTCTGTGCGCCTTGCCACGCCGGGGGCCAGCGTAATGATAGAGCAACTGAGGAAGGTCTTTGCACTCGTCGAGCAGCTGGATGGACTGGGCTACATTGACCCGAACCTTATTCCGCGGCAGAGCGCGAGGGAGTTGTTTGATGCAGTGCGAGCGGCACGTGTAGCCTGCGGTCAGAAGTCGCACGACCTGCTGGTGAGCGAGGCGAAAAAAACGGCAGCGGCTCGGCAGTTGCCCCTTTAGTGATTAAAACGGCTCGTTAGGGGTGGAATAATAGGACATGTCAGTGGTGGCGCATCTTTTGTTTTTAAGGGGTCTCTTCTCTTCGTTAGTGAGTGGGACGCACACACACATATGCCCCCTGTACGCACAAGAACTTGGTGGAAGAGAGGGAGAGAGAGCAGGAGGACACGACACGAGGATGACACTTGCGTCTTGATTTTTTCCTGTTCCCAGAAGAAATTCATTTAAACCACGACCAAAAAACCACCACCACCAACAAAAATTGGTAGAAGAAAGCAAAAGAAAAAATGAATATTTTCTTTTTCTGGAGCTTTGCCTTCTATTTGTTGGACGGATACCGCCTAATATTTTTTGCTTATGCCTCCGTCATTTTCCCCTTGGCACTTTTTGCTTTTTTTTTCCCGTTTTCTCTGCTTTTTTTTTTTTTTTTTGGTTGGATGCGTGGTAGGGGGTGTGGCGGGGAACTGCGGCTTCCTGCAAGCGCAGGATTGCCAGTCAGTTGCTCCCGTTTTTATCTTCGTCGCAGCGAGTGGAAGCGGTGAATGATGGAAGTTGCGCCGGGGGGCAGAAGGGAACCGCCCACTTACAGATTTTTTTATGCCGATTCCCCCGAGCCCGCGGATGCACGAGGGCCTTTTAGGGAATCTCAGAGACAGCTGACATCGGCTGCGCTTCGCGAGGCAGTAGAAGTGCAGCTGGAGACCCTTGAGGCAATTGACAGGACCGAGCAAATCATGAACACGGCGGAAGATATTGGTAGGGAGGCCAGACAGCAGCTTGCGCAGGACAAGGAGATTATTGAGGTTATTGACACTGCGTTAGAGACAAACGAGCCAATTTTGCACCGAGTGAGACGTGATCTGCGCTGGTTTCGATTGCAGCTACAGAAGGACAGATTGTTCATATGCTTATTCGGCATCGTAGCTTTATTGTCCGTGGCCGCCGTGATTGTTGTCGTTGCATTCAAGCGGCGGCGCTAGCAGTACGGTTGTTGGCACTGGCTTATTGATACATTAACCCCCCCCAAAAAAAACCATATTATTCTCTTGGCGTTTTTACTGCTGGCGGTTGTTTTTCCTTTTGATGTCGTTTCCCATGACTGCTTTGAATGCTTATTTGTGTGTTTCTTCTCACCTTCAAAAAGAAATATATATGCATATTTGTTGTTTTCTCCCGTGTGTTGGTTTTTCCCTTTTTTTTTTCCCCCATCTCTCTACCTGCAAGTTTTTATTTCTGCTGCAGTTCTTCTTGTCTATTGGCCGAATTTTTTTTTTTTCTTTTAATTTTTTTTTTTTGTTTTGCTTGCTGACTGCGAAGCCCTTTTTTCTTGCCGTGCGTGCGCCACGTCAACAAAAGTCGATGTCCGAGGAGGAATTTGCGGAGGTGTTTGGTTTCCTGTTGAACAATCGCGAGGATGTGCGGAAGATGGCGGTGAAGGGCATTGCACAGCAGAGCAAAGACAACTCCGCCCTTTTTGCCTTTCTCGCCTCACCGACGCATGGGCCACGCTCATTTGATGCACTTCTACAGTTTTTTCACGCCGGTGGCTTTCAGCTTCTGGGCGACATTTTGACGATTCTTATCAACTGCTCCGTGGACAGCCGCTGTGCGGAGATGCTTGTCTCTCGCCGAGTTGTGCGCAAGGCAATGCGGTTGCTTGAAGGCATTGAAGCCTCTGACCATGCCAATTCGCTAAAGAGGAGCCTGGAGGAGATGACGCTTATGCTTCTCAGCAACTTAACGGCAAGCCACATCATCGCAGTAGACGATCTGCTACAGATCGAAGACGAAAACCTCCGCGGGTTTTACCTTGGGAAACTGCATGTGTATTACAACCGCTTTTTCAGCAATGGGGTGAAAGAAGAGGGAGAGGACGATGTCGACGACGGAGGTGGCGAAGGGAAAGAATTGGGAAAAACGGGAGCAGAAAAGCTGCCTGCACGGGATCTACAGAAGTGGATTTTGCAGATTTTGCTCAACCTGACTCGCTCCAGTGAAGGCCAGATGCTCCTCACGGAGGACGGGGATTGGGACAGGACGCTGACGGAATGCCTTGGCTCATCTAATATGCGGCATCGTCTTTTGGCGGCGCAGTGTTACCGCAACTGCAGCCTTCAGAGTGAACACCACGCGGCAATCTTGAGGGGAAACTCTCTACGGGTCTGTGTAGAGCGACTGTGCGACGGTGGGGAACAGGTGCCGGGTGTGGAGATGATGTTGGCAGAGATCGTGGCGGAGATGATGCGGTCGGAGGCGGGGATGCAGTACCTTGAGGAGGTGAATGCGAAGAGGCATCTGCAGGCAGCAGTGGCGGGGAAAAAGGTAGACGATGGGACTGCGGAGTTCATTGAGCGACATGTGTTGCCGTTCCTCGACGATGTTGTCGATGCCTACGTGGTGCATGGAGGTGACACCGTCGATTAAGCAGAGAAAATGAATCCATGAATAACTGGGAGCATGTTGAATTGATGCGTGTCCCACTGCATAAGCGGAGGCCCACACCACCGAGCGGAGAGACGGCAGCTGTGGGTCATGCAATGAGCGGGAGTCAAAGGAATTGAAAGTAAAGAAAAGAAGAAAAAACAAACGAGAAAGGAAGTTTCCTTAAGTATATATATATATGTATTATTATTGCTTTTTTTTTTTTTTTTTCTCATGCATGCATGCTGTGAGTGGCTAGGCTGCGCAGATAGCAAAAAAGAAGACAACAAAAAAATTAGCATTTTTGGGTCACTGAGACACACAAGTACACGCGTACGCAGACGTATTCAAGTGAACAAGAGGAATAAAAAACAAGTGGGATCAAAAGAAGATGTTTCGCCGCATCATTGCCTCTGCGGGTGTGTATCCGAGAGCGATGGGTGCTCGCACGTACTTCTACGCGTCCCCGGGCGAATCTGGAATCAGCGCTGAGACGATGAAAGGCCTGCTGAAGGCGACTCTTTGCTTCATTGTGCTTGAGGCGTTTGTTATCAACCGTGCTGTGTTTCAAGGCCTTAGCACGAAGCACCAATACGTTGAGGATTTCACGGACCTCTGGGAGGATGACGGAACTGTCATGGAGGGCGAGGAGGCGGTTGCGAACCTCCGCATCCAACGCGAACGTATTATGCCGTTTATGAACGACATTAAGGAGAAGCTGGACGCCGCCGGTGTTGAGACGGATGCACAGTAGCAGTGAACATTACAATAGCATCGTTCATTGGCTCGCATAGTTTCTTTACTCCCTCTTTTTTTTTTTTTTTTGTTTTATTTTTGCTTTTTATTGGTATTTTTGTAAGGATTCTAGTGTTGCATATATATATATATGCATGGTGAGTAGGGGAGGGAATCAGAGAAATAGGGAGGGATGAGAGAGATGAATGGAGAGTACGCGCAAAAACAAAAACCAAAAAAAAAAAAAAAAAAAAAAAAAAAAAAAAAGAAAAAAAAAAAAAAAATGATGATGGGAGGTCAATTACGTATGAATGCTTCTTTCATTATATATTATGTTTATATGGGTGTATTGCGTGGGGCATGGGATGGGCGAGGGTATTTCCACACGGGAGAAAAAAAAGGAGGATGTTTCTTTTTCTTTTTTTTTTTTTTTGTGTGTGGGTGATTGTTTTTTACATCTTGTTATTGTTTTGCCGCAGGAACTCCCCCAACACTTTCTATCTCATTTTGCATGCGCCACTATTTGTGTCTGCTCGCAACCCTTAGAGACAGGAGGAAGAATCCGCGGACGCGGCTCATCACGACGATAGGAAGAGTGTTTTGGGCATCATCATCATCATCATCATCGCAGTTCTTTTTTTTCTTTTCCTTCTTTTGTTTTTGTTTCCTCCGCCTTCTCTCCATTTTTTTTTTTTTTTTTTTTTGGAGGGAAGGTGGGGTCCGCTTTGCTTACCAACAACACCGTTGCCAGCATCTCTTGTTGTTGTTGCCTGTTCTTTTTCTCTCTCCCTTTTTTTTTTTTTTTCTGACGCCACAGCCGGTAGGTGCAGCGTAGGGGATAAAAAAAGTATTGGCACGGGGGGCGGTGGGCGACATGAGCTGCATCTTTTCGGAGCTTCGACGCTCGGAGCGGCTGCTCCCTGTGGAGGACAACGCGTCTTTCCAGCGCATCTCCTCATGGCGACCGCTATTTGTTGACCCGCAGGAGCACCCGGCCCTGTACGAACATGTGGCGTTCTTCCGGAGTGATGCGGAGCAGAACTCCAAATGGATGCACACCGTGCGATCTGCCCGCGTATCTACACGACAGGTTCCTTTCATCACATTAACGGGGCCTGATTCCTCTGCAAAGGCACCAGTGACAGCAGGAAAAGCGCCAACTATCGTTCATGAAAACCATGACTCAGAGGACAAGCTGCCAACGCATTTTTTTCAACAGCACGTGGCTGCATTGGCACCATACGAATGCTTTATGTGCCCCACACTTCTTTTCAGCCCGTTTCGACCCTTGTTTACGAAGCGGATGGTGCCCATTGCGTTGAAGCTATCTCTTCCTGTGCAAGAGGTCTTTCTTTTTCTCTCTATGATGTTTGTTTATTTGGACGTGGTCATTGCAGTGAGTGTGCCGAAGCCATTGTGCTTTCAGGAACTGACTGATTTGCTGGAGCAGCGGCGTGTGCAACTTGTTGAATCATCTGTAAATAGCGCTGGCGATCCACACCGAAGGGCCTTTACGACAGTGTTGAACGCAGTGATAGAGTTGTGGAAGGAACAACGCGAGGCGACTGTGTCGGCACTTTTTCCCTTGGGGACTCTTGCTACCTCTGTGTGTCTGCGTGACATTGATGACAAGGCTTACCGCGCATTCGTACCTTCTGCTTCGCGTGACACAAAGCGGGAGGACCATCCGTTCCAACTTCCACCGTCGGCTGCTGACGCACTTGTTTCCCACTTTGTTCCCACGTGGGAGCGCATTTTGGAGGCAATGTCTCGCGATGTGTCGGTTCTGGCCACGCTACATGACTATCTTGTGCGCCAGGGAGCTGGCATGACGCGTATGCGTCAACCCGTAATGGGCAATTCTTTTGCATCAATCCATGCCCTTCCACACAATAAAGAGGAACTGGCGGATTTTGTTTGCCGCCTTGGTTCCTCACTGTGGACCTCCTCGAATATGGCGAAGAGCATTGTGCTTTCTAAACCCCAGCTGCAATCTGTTAGCAAAATCTTCCAAAAGGAGTTTTTTGCGACGTTACTGCGTCTGCGTCACCGAGGCGTGCAGGAGTTACGTGTGCGGCGTGTGACCCTTGGGGATCTTGCACTGACGGTTATTCAGGACGACGGGCGGGAGGCCGAGGTGGGGCGTCCTGCGGGATTTCTCGTGGGGCGCACGGCGATGGGTGACAACAAACCAGATAGCGACAGCGGCTCCAAGGGTGGGGATGGCAATAAGAAGAGTAACCTGCCATTGTGGCTTGTAGCGGAGGGCGGTGTGGATGTTGTGCAGACGTTTTTGGAACATCTTATCCGGGACACGCGTGCCACGACGTTCCTTCCGGTAACGCTGCCGTGCCGCAATGGTGATGGGCGTGGCTCGAATGTTGCAGGCGTTTCTAAAGAGGACGAGAAGGGAACACCAACGGTGGAGGAGCAACAATTTGTTTTGCTGACGCGTATGGAAGAGGGAGTTCTGCATCGTATTTTTCAAAGTCATCCGAATGCTCTTCAGCTTACGGGGTGCGGCATTCGGCAAATGCTGGTGCGCAGGGCGGATGGTCAGCCCTTTTTGCAACGAGTTTGCGGTGCCGTTGTGGCGTGGGACATCTGGGAATGTTATGATTCAGAACAGGCGTCGAAGTTGCGGCGGCCCCGCCGGGTCATCACCGCCGATGCTCCGTTTCCTTTACCAGAGGGCATCGCGCCGTCCCGCCTGAATATGAGGGCAGTGCGGGGAATGGTGCAGCACTACTGGAAAGCCCTTATTCTTGAGCAAGGGCGGGCGGCGGGCTCGAAGCGTTCGGAGGTGACGAGCACAACACTCTTTCCTATTGACAGGGCTGTTGCATTCTACGTTTTGCGGCATCATCCGCAGTATTACGTACGTGTGCGAGGCTGCGGTATTGTCGATGTCTGTGTACAGCGGCAAATGCGCTCTGCTAGCAGCGGGAGACCTTTTCATTTTTTGGACTCTGAAGCGACGGGAGAAGAGAGCCAGGCCGTGACGGATGACACATGTGAATATGTTCCTACGCTTGCCGTAACACATCCTTGTGGCACGTCTACTGTTCTTTCGTACGAGGACTGCTACAGTCCGGTCACGAATCGACTGAACCGACCACAACTGCTTGAAAACGACGCTGGTGGCACGAGTGATCTGGCGTGCCTTCCAACACCTCCGTTGAGAAAACGAAGCTTTTCAATGATGAGGGAATGATGTGCCCCACAAATTACTTTTTCCGGTGGCTGCGAGGGCTATTTGTGGAATGACGGTCTTGAATGGGGGAGGTGACACGAAAGCGCGCTCAATCTGCATGCAGTAATGGGAAGAATTAATTGAGGAGGAATAAACGCCTGAAAAACGTCTGATCAAACGCAGGTGGGGAACGGAAAGAGAATACAAAAAATACGGCTTGACTGGCAGTATAAACACATTATCAATTCGATTGTTTTTATTTATTTTTCAGCAAAAGAAGGAAGGGTTGTACTATTTGTTATTGAAATCTTGAGGCTTTGCCTCTCGCTGATCGACGACAACGGCCATGGAGTAAAGTGAAGAAAAAGAAGGGAAGAAAAAAAAAAAAAAAGGGGCTAAGTGGGGGAGGAGTATATTTTTGTTGGTTTTATTTGTGTCATTGCGGCAGCTCCTTACTAATGTCACGGTACGCAATGGCGTCACCGGGAGAAGCAGAATGAAGGAAATGATGAAATTTTTTTTTTTTTTTTGGGAGGAGGGGGAGAAGACCAATGCAGCCGGTTTTAGCGACCTTCTATGCGGCTGCACCATTGAATGGAAATAAGAAGGAAGGGAATAACTTTTCTGTGCAATGAGGTTTCCGCGGCTGCACGTGGCCATGAAAAATTCTTTAGAATGCCGGAGTGAAGTGAACTCCTCGGGGTTCGGTCAACTGCGGCATTTTTCTCATGGAAATGTGAATTCATTGTTGTAGAGATCATGACTGGCGGGGTTTTTATGATTTATCACCATGGCCACCACTGCGGCGAATACTCTTCCCGTGTTCTCCTTGAGCTTGCCGCCCGTTTATATGGATTGCGAGTCACAATTGGCTGGTGGTGGTGGTCCCTGGAGAAGTTGTGGATGGAAGTTTCTAAAATGGCACACGGCCCAGAGGCGGAGTTTGTTGCGTGCAGACCCCACAATTGGGGGTTTTGACACATCTTTGCTGCCGCGTATTGGGACCAGGCATTTGACTTTCCGCTCCGCCTCCTGTTGCTATTCTCCTGGTGGTGCGGAGCGTAGTCTTTGTGTGGGCGACGGTCATATTGTTGGCTGCTTCTTTGTTTGATGGTGTCCTTGCCTTCCACCAACATCTCCTGTTTTTTTTTTTTTTTTTCACCCCATTTGCATTTGTGTTGCTGTTTTTGCTTCTTTATGTGTTTTTCCTTTTTTCCTTTTTTTTCTTGTGATTTGGTCGCGTCCCTGTCACCTCTCAGTGATGGGGGCTTGCGTGTCTCGGAAACACACCACCTCACGGGATCATATCAGCAAAAGTAACGGCTAACACAACAACAACAGCAGCAACAGCAGCGGGAGGAACAAATTTGTAGAGGAACCCACCGGGTGGGTTAGGGTGGATTGTTTGTGCATAAAATAGAAAAGAAAGGAAAAAAAAGAAGGCGGAGAGGCGGAGTCGTCACTGCGTTTGGATGCGTAGGCAGACGCGGCTCTTTTCTCGCTTAGCAGTTGAGATACCCAACAGTCACTGGCTTCCCCGTCGACTTCTCCTCGTTAGGCATGGCGAGTCCGAGGCGAATGTAGACCGCAGCCAGTACAGCAGAATACCTGACTGGAAGATCCCACTGACCGAACGGGGTCGCGCGCAGGCGTTAGACTGCGGTCGTCGACTTCGTAATATCATCAAGAATGAGAAACTTTATATTTATTACTCACCGTACGTGCGTACACAGCAGACTCTGGCGGAGGTGCGGAAGAGTTTAGAGGAGTCACAGGTGCAGGGTGAGCGCGAGGACGAGAGGCTGCGCGAGCAGGAGATTGGCAAC